GGAAAGGAACTAACTAGAGAATGTAAAAGGGAAAGTTCTCTCTTCAGACACTGCCTGAAGAAATCTTTGTCTCCCTAAGAGAGGCGGATCCGAGGCCACAATGCAAAGATCTTTCCACAGACTGCTACAAAAGGATGTGGCACCAGGAATAACAGAAACCGTGACTCTCAAATCTGCAGGGCCTCCTGTTTGCCTTAAATAGGAAGCAACACAGGTGAAATCCTGTTGTAGCAAAGTCTGTTATGAGAACCTTCCAAAAGAATGAGTCAGCACAGAGCTTCAAACTGTAGCTTCCATGAAGTGCAATTTAATTCTAACAAAATAAAAGATGTCTTCGCTAACATGCTGGGAATACAGAATGCAATGTCACTGGTTTCGTGATTTTATTCCTGGATTTTGTCACTATAGATTCCTATTGCCAGCAGTGAAGATTACATTTTTAGCCCTATTTCTAGCCACCCTGATTTGTGACATATGTTGTATTCGTATTTAAGACATCCAATTACCATCTAAGGATTTCAAAACCTAAAGGTCAGAATGATGCTTTTTTTTTAACCCAAGGAGCACAGAAGTGTTCTTTTTTTGTCTATTCCCCTCTCTTTTTCTCTCATCCTAGAGGCCCTGAAACTCAATGATAAAAGTGAGAAGGAGATGCAAGAAAAATACTTTCAATTATTTGGTCTCTTCTACTAGTTGTACGATTCTCACAGCGTCAGGAATCCTTTTTGTTTTCTTGTGAGTGTTAAAACCCTACCTATGTCAATCAGCTGAAATTGTACCATCCAAAGTGTCCTATAACTCACAGAGATTGCAAACAATTATACCGAAAGTATGTTCAAATAGAATTTCCACCATCTAGCTGCTTCCCCTAACAGAAATACCCTGTTCCATCAAGAAGTAGAGAGAAATCATCTTCTAAACACAAGTGGCGATGCAGTACAGCTCTGCCAAAGCCCTTTACTCCTCCTGCACCACTCTGTCTGTAAGCTCCACCTACGCAAACATGAAAGGCAATGTAACAATTCGATATACAAGGCCAGGGCTACAGGGCTGCTAATGTCCCCTTGCTGGACACACACCTTAAGTCTCAGAGCTCTCAAGGGGTTTGCTGTGGAATAAAATTAGATTTCAACATCTGCCACCATTAAGGAAAAAATTCCATTTTCATCTCCCATATGAAAACACTATAACCAATGAACAGTAACTGAACCTTGATACCATAATGGTTATTACCCAAATCAACTATTTTTTTTAAACAGTAAAATTAGCAAATTCTGCTCTCATAATTATTTGAATGTTATCAGACTAAATGTTTGATAAAATTCCAATATGATTCACTTGGAAAAACTGCTGCTTATTTGAATACCCAGAATATAAAGTGTATTCATTTGTAGCTATTCACATTATGTCTAAAGCATATCATCTTTTTAAAGTTTGCATTAGCTTGCTTTCCTAACCAAGCACAAAAAGTAGTCTACCTTCAGGTTTTACCTGCATATTTTATTCAGACGTTTCTATTAGAGTTAAAAACAATCTCATATCTATTATTCATTGAAGAGAAGAGACAATATAATACGTGTGAAATGGCGGAATCTACGTGAGTTGGTTTCTCTCACCAAAAATTCTTCGAGCATTAGTCACTGAAGAGCATGCTTTACCTTTTAAAATGAAAGGTACCTGAGATACCCAAATAGATGATTAATAAATCACCCTTATCCACGTGGAGGACTGAACATCTTGCTTACCACATTATGAAATGTTACCATTTGTATATAGTGCTGTAAGATTTAAAAGTTCTTTTGCAAACATTATAGCACGTGACTTCATCCCATCTTGAAAGACTCTTGGGCTTAAAAAAGTCAATTTTCTTAATATTATATATAGCATCAGTGACAGAGCCTAGATTATAGCTAGCTTCCTTTGACTCCCCCATCATGTATACCCATCTCTATCAGGCATAAAGAACTCTGAAGACTCTTTGGAACACAGGAAAACCCTTACTACGTCCATCAATTAGTCCAGCATCCCTATTCCTTTTTCCTGGCACAGCATATAACCTTACTACTGATGCTGCCTTGAATCCTAAAGAAATGCAGAATAGGAAGAGAAATGCAGAGAATTTGGAGTCAGCTCAAGTACTGACTAGTTGAGTGACCCTCATGTGTAAAATGAGAAAAATAATGGTAGGGTTACTCAATTAAATGTAGATAATCTATGATGCATGATAGGGTCTAGCATGAAAAAGATGCTGGTGAAGCCAACCCAGACAACCAGGGTGAGACACAGAAGCAGCTGGAGGTAGATGGGCTGAGACAGAAGTGACTCTGGCCTTCCCGCTGCACACATACTTCCTCCTGGGGGGCTGCTGCTGCACTCTGACAAGCCCTGGTACGCACAGCTGAGGCATAAATAACTATTTTTGAATTCTGACCATGAAAAAAGGTCAGTCAGATTTGAAGAGTTTTTTTTTTTTTTGGGGGGGGGAGTTAAGTTTTCCTGTTCCTTTGCAAACATTACAGTAAAAGAACAGAAAAAGTAAACGACCACCTTCCCTTATTAAGCCAGGTTTCCTCTGTTAGGAATGCATACAGGTTTGGGGCTGTTTCATTTTTAAGTAATTGCTGATCTTTGTACGTATTTTCCAAAAGACGGCAGTGCTAACAGCTAAACTGACTAAGAGAAGACCAAAAATGCTCTGCCAGGAAGTTAGAGTAAACGAGAACTGAGGAAAACCTGTCCAGGGGAGTAAGTGACAGGTTTGCCTGACCCATAGCTTACAACTGGCCCTTGGATTCTCTCTCCACTAGTAAAGAGGAAATTAGCTAAAACCTTTGGGGGTTCCAGGAAAGACCCCATTACAGCAGACCCGAGAAGCCCCGAGTGACACTGCTGACACAGAGCCTCAGGAAGGGCAGTGCAGGGCAAGGTACAGAGAGCAAGGACATTTAAAAATTCCTTAGAACATCACTCACATGACATTATCAGCCGACTGCTGCTAGTGTCTGGATAGTTCCAAAAGCAGTAATTCTGCCCAGGTGGGGAAAAGCTGGGATATCATTTAAAAGAACGAATTCAAAAGTGGCAAAGAAGCTAATAACCACAGGATGCTACAGGACAGTCAGTAAAGAAAGTGGTGGGGGGTGGCAGGTGTCGACTGAATTAAATGACAGACAACAGGAAATGAAACGGTGATTACTAAAAGGTTTTAATATTAAATTTTGTTTGTTTTAAAGCTGACCCTAACTATGTGTCTAGTTTATCCATTTTGGAGATCTGGGGAAATGTCTGGTCCTGCTAGGAATGCAATCTGTTATTATTGATCATTGGGCAGATCAGAAGAAACAAAAGACATAGGATCAGAAAGACAGGCAAGAAAATATGTATTTAAATCTGAGATCCTCATCATAATTAGACTAAATAGCCGAAGAATGTGCAGGGTGGGTGGGTGGGTGGGGTGAAGTGAGAACAGGACATTTCTCCTCAATGCCTAGTCTTGGCATGTAAATGAAGGCATCTGAAGAAGCACACAGGTTTAAAGCGGCTCTAACATTCTATCATAATTAGAAACATTTCAAGAGCCCTGTAATTTCCAATCAAAATTACAGTAATTTCCGATATACAAGCCATGATTCATGACAGAATTTTACATTCCATGAGAGATTACGGTGGCCTGATGTATGACACGCTGAGTACGGCACTAACATAAACAATTCAGTTTAATGTTTAAACAGCACTTGATGTTTAGAATCTCACAATAAAAGAAACATATTATTGTAGAAATTATCACTTTGACAGTGATTGAAGGGTAGGCAGGCATGTGGCCTATAAAGCTATAATTTTTACAGTCCACAGCTTGAGTTTAATCATTTTTATATAACATTTCTAAGATATCCCTGACGTATTTCATCCAGCCTATAACTTAAACAAGAACAACATTTTCCTAAACTAAAGCGAAACTCCCATCAAGTAACACTACTCATGTTGACAGAGTAAAAATTTAGGAAAGCCAAAAAGGTACCATATTATAACTACATCATGTTGTAAATACTCCCAGGATTATATATTTTATCAGAAGTTTGCAATAGCCAGGTTGTTTCATAAAAGAGGTTTCATTAATGATAATGAAAACACACTTGTGTAAAATTTCAAGTTGTTAAAATCTCACCGGGAGCCCTTGATTGCCTCTAAATCTCACCTTGATAATGTTATCAAATCCTTTTTGAAGGGGAAAAGAGTTTCAGTGTTCTTCTGAACATTCAAAAAGTAGTCTCGGCTTTGGAGAAGGGTTTATAGATAGATGTATTTGTAAGTTTGTTTGCATAGACGATTCTATTCTTGAGGAATATAAATTATCAATGTAAGTTGATTATGCTGATAAAAGACTGCATTATCTATCCTTTGTTTTTTATCTTATTTGTAGAAAGTTGTAATTTTTCCAATTCAAGTTTATTCGATTATACTCATCAGAGCTGGACAACTTTTCTAAGTGCAAGTCAATTTTTGTGTCTTACACACATCTACAGAAAAACTAAAAGCATTACAATACAAGGATACACGGAGTGTGCCCAGTTTGTCTTATGTGCACCTTGTAGTTTAAGTCAGCCAAGTTAGAACAGAAGAAACTGTACGTTTGTAGTACTTTAGGATGGAAGTCAAGGCCATCTAAATAATAATCAAATAGTATTAATTCGAGTTATTTATTCTATTACAATAGTCTGGTCAGACTGAGAAACTTTCTATACATTACAATACCCTTCTTCTAAAACAACTATTAGCTATCTCAGGGATTTCTCAAGAAATCCTTGGTTTGGGGAATGGCTGCTGACCAAGTAGCTACAACCTGAATGTGAACATAGTTTCATTTTAGAGCTCTGTAAATAATCCTGGAGACAGTGACCTTGCAGTGATGTAAGTTCATATTGAAAACAGGCACTTCTTTTAATGAAAATTCCACTGGCATCACAGATAAACATTCTCAATGTCTAATAAGAGGCTCTTACCTGGCTTTTGGTTGCCGCAACCTTTGCAAACAGTGCCTGGGACACTTTAGCACGCTTCATTTCCTGCTGAATCTCATCATAAATGGAAGCATTAATGTTCATGGTATTGTTCTCTGGTTTCCCATTCCTCTCAGTGGCAATAGTAGCTGTTTTCACCTACAAAACATTTTGAACATGGCTGTCATTTTTCATTGGCCAAATTGTTTTGAAGCTTCTCAGGCTCCACATTCAAACTGGACATTGCTGCTCCTTTTATGATCAAGGTGATCAACAGTGCAGTCATTCAGCATTAGTTATTGCCCTGAGATCAGATTGCTTAAGTTAAGGAAGTCACATTGTTACAGGTGATTGCATCTGTAATAGGACAGCAACTGCCAGCTGACAGCTAGGAATTATAATGCCATAAAGTAAGTTTTCTGGAAAACGGAATAGTTTCAAAGACTTGAAAACCCTAAACTAATTGTCTCCCAATTACCTTCCACTGCAATCCTAACAAAGGAAATTCACAATTAAGATCATAATGTACAGTTCTATATCTTCACTGGGTACCTAGTGCCTAATAGACAATTGTATCACTAATCGCTATTACATACTATGGCCTTGTTAATTTCAGACTCTTTTTTTATGCCTTTTCCTCTTATGTTTCATTTAAAAAATCTTCCATAACACAGCCATTTGCAGAACTGCATATTTAAATCTTCTATCCATCCATGAAACAGGTAGACTGCCTCGCTTAATTATCATAAAGGCTGGTTGCATTTTACACGTGCATGTCCAAGCTGTTCTGTATAATTATTTCGTCTTTTCCTGGCATCCTTGTATATAACTATTTCCTTTTGACTTGTGGAATCACACAATGAGAAAATATTTCACAATATTAATAAAACAACACTGTAAGAAGTTGTACAAAATATATAATCAGTGACTTTACAAAAATATTCAAAACGTATAATCTTGAGAAAAAAAATAGTATCAATGCCTTTGGTAATAATAAGCAGAAAATAGCAGGGAAATGCCACAAAATTTTAGGGGGAGAATAAAAAAAAAACCTCGAAATTTATTAATACTATTCTTAAGTTTTAAAACTCCAAATTTAATTTTTATTATTCAGTGTATGAGCCATGGGAAATTTGTATTATGAACTACGTAGTCAATTTTTTTTACTGGGAAATGGATGAAAATATAAAGGAAAAATTGCTACAGAGGTAGAACCATGCATCTCTCATCAAAATGTTCCATTAAAGACTTCACTTCTTAGGGTACTTTACAGAACTTGGGGTTTTGTCCTCTAGAAACTGACCACCTTGGAAAATCTCTCACATAATCTGTGAATAATGGAAAATGAACTGCATTTTAGGACAAATAATTTTCTGGTTATTACATGACATGCCCTCCTTGTCAAGCTGCAAGACTTTCAAGTTTATTTCACCCTGTCCACAAAATATTTGGTAGGAAGAGGAAAGTTACTGTATTCAATTCTCTGTGCATAGTGGGTAAATATGAGCTCCCTTTAAAACACACTTTCCAAATCCTTCTAACTTCTAGCCAGTTAGCAAAATAATTCACCTCTTGGTTATCTTGAAAAGGGAGATACTCTTCCATGATGACACTATCCTTCTAAGCACTGGAAAGATAATGCCATAGAATAGTTGGACCACAGGCCTGGTGAGGCAGGAACAGGTGACCCACCCCATACCGCCTCCTGTGCCTCCTTTAAACTGTCAACTGGAGACCAGAAAGGCAAGAGTCTAGGCTCCATCTCCAGAGTTCCCTTTCTAGCTCGGTGACTCTGGTAAGCAAGGGCATTCACAGAGGTATATTAATGACTGGAGGCCACAAAGAACATGTACAGGGCTTTGAAGTAATAATCTGCTAAACACCACTTTAGGAGCCAGAGGAGTTAAGGCATTACCATAAATTGCCCACAAAGTTGCTTTGGTGAGATTCGAAACTTTGCTCTGGGGTGGTCTTGCTTTGAGGCAGAGGGATAGATTTGATCACACCATGGGGTCCCATTTAATACCTATTTTTCTCACTGCTTAAATGAAAGAGAAAAGAAAAGCCATTTCAATCGCTTTGAAAATTGAATGTTATGGAAATGGGGGCACCAAGTCCAGTAGTGAAGAAAACAGTTCCTTGGTAGCAATCTGCTTAGCAATAGCTAAGAGTGTAGGTTTTGGGGACTTGGGGTTTCTGTCTCTTTTTAAAATAATTTTCATCCTTTTGTAAAAATTATGTTGAAGAATTTATCTTTGAGGTGGGCTATAATCATTTGTTCCAACTTTGTGGTTTTGTTTCTAGAAATTTCTTCAATTTTATCATAAACAATGATAACTTAAACCTAAAACCCCAAATCATAAAAAAAACAAATAATCATCTCATAATAGCCTACACTGTCAAAACAAAAGTGGAAAACAAGTATATATGAAAAATTAATTTGAAAAAGGGCAAAACTTTTAAAAAGGCAAAGTTAAAAAGTCCCTTTGTATTACTCATTTTAAAAATATTTAGAAAAGCTCTTTACCATTTGTTGGCACAGATATGCATCTTATCAGAGATAAGATATTAAATGTGATTCTGGAATCACATTTTTTCCCCTAAACACAAGCCATTGCTTAAGGGGAACTGACTTGGACAGCTTTTCAAAAATATGAATGCTGAATTTTTCCCCAGGTAAAAATGGAAACAAAAATCTTTTATACCTCACTCTACTAAGTACTATTTTAGCTTAGTTCAAAAAAAATCTTCTTTAATCCTGGTTTAGCTTTTAATATTATATCACACATTAAAATTCATAAAGTAGTTCATTCCAGGCAAAACAAACTACTTTTCAGCTCTTCTCTGCAAATAGCTCAGGAGGTGAAATGAATGCAGTTGCTTTCAGAATAGCTTTTATCAAGGTGGGGTGTACTACTCCATTATTAAGGCGGCGCCGGGAAGCAGTTAAGAATTGGAGCTTCTACCATTTACCCTTCCACGTGGGGACAGGGTGCAGCACCAAGGTCTGCCTTTTATTTCGCTAAAATCCTGCAGTAGAACACACATCCTTCCATGAAAATTCTTTTGTTTCTTCATGGGTTGCTAAAAGCACCAAATCAAATTTTCAGGTTATGAAGGATGAACTCTTCTCTGGCCCTGATTGGTGAATGTACTACTCACTGATGCATGAAGAACTGCCTGCACGTACGTTGTTCTCAAACACATAAAAATTAAAGTTTTATGTAGTTTCAATAATTATGATCATAAAGGCTGACATTGTTATGTGCTAGGCATTGTAGTAACATATATTAAGTTCATAACCTGCATAACAACCCTAAGTAGGTACTATGATCACTGTTTTAAAACTGAGAAAACGCTTAAGCAGGTTAAGTAATTTTTCCATGCAGCAAGGCTGAGATATGAATTTAAGTTTGTCTGACATTAGAACTTATTTCAGAAACTGCAAAGTTTGTACTGAGTCCATATTCTACAGGCCTTCTTTACTTGGAAAAATTCTTAGTTTTGAAAATAGGCTGGACTTTCTCTTGGGTAGCCCTTTGATAAATTTAACTCCTTAATGTCTAATTTTTAATAGCTAATAGTTTTTAATTAATATTAAGATCCAACTTGAATTTATTTTCCAAAGTATACAAACTATGTGTGCTTTCTTAGTAATGGTAGGTAAGAAATGTCCTATTCTGTGAATGGTTATTGGCGATGGAAATATTTCTAACTCTTAAATTTGTCTGTACTGTATTAACATTGTCTTTACAGCCGTGGTTTAATTTTCTGAGATATTTCTTCATTTTTTTATGAAAAATTTTAATTATTTTCCAAATCTAGAGTTTAGGAGTCCTCCAAAGACGTTTGTTAATGGGAAGCATTTCACAAGCACATAAGACCTTAAAATGATATTTGTTTAAAAGATTCATGATAATAAAACATCTATCAGGTGTATAATTCCTGCCTATAACCAAACCTGAAATCAAGATGAACCTATGCTTCCTTATATTATAGTCAGATTTGCTGTACAGTACAGTTGCCACATTATATATTCCTTTGTAAATTTTCTAAAGTATCGTTATAAAACAATATATCTCACTTTTGAAGAAACTAAACACATACAGAGATGTGAAAAAGTGAAGGGAAAAAGAATCGTATAATTCATGTGAAAATTCTAACTTGGTAATTACATGCTTTCAAACAATCCTTATGGAAACTGAAATTGCTAAATTAATTTAACTCCAAAAGTCACACATATTAAAATACACAAACAAAACCAAGATAAGCATATACCTAAGGGAGAATCATCACTTAAAACTGTGGCGTAGAACAAATCATTTTCAGAAAATCATTAATTACTACTAATAATATTCCTCTACTAACCCATCAGGAAAAGTCTGCAAAGTACAGTCAGCAAAGAAACCTGTGAGAAAATTAGGGAACTTTGGGGATACTGAGTTCTCTCACATATTTTTATATGACCAGAGTTTAGACAGGGCTATTTTATCCACAATCCCAGAAACACCAAGTGGCTCATCTGTCAAACATTTAATTTACTTCATCAGGACAACACTATTGTATCCTCTTCTCCAATTTAACAATAAAACTTCCTATCCTCTATGACAAACAGAAAAAAATGCCCATTTCATTTTCCCCTTGCTAAGTAAGTTTTGTATTTTAAGGAGGTTGCTTGAGATACAGGAAAGAGCAACAGACTGATTTCCAAACTGTGAGTGGACACTAGACTTTGTTTTCTCATTTTTCTTCTAGCAAAAGGTTGCTATGAGGATTCAACAAATAAATGTATATAAAAGTGCTTAGAAAACTGTGAACCATTACCAAGTGAAAGATACTGCTATTGCTCAAATTACAGCATGTAAAGTTGTGAAAATATGCTTTTATCAAATGGGTGTGGCCCCAAGCCTACTGCCTCAGCCAGAGGACACAGCACAGGGCATGGTTGCCCTAATGGGTACAAGAGACACCTCTGTAGAAGAGGCACCTCACCTGGGCTGGAGCAGCCATGAGCTTTAGTGTTTCCTGAACTGGTCTGGGTATCCACAGGTGAGGTATTCCTAGAACTGTACCTGGGGCCTGACTAGAGTCAGGGAAGTCCCTTTTTAAAGATGAATTAGAATCCAAGTCTTTCAACATTTTGGGTCCTCAGTCTGAGAATCCAGTCCCTCCAGCCTAAAGAACCACTGCTTTTAAAACGCAGTTCTTTAGAAAGAGATCAGGGTTAAAGTCCAGCCCAACTCAAGATGTGCCTCAAAATACGTTTCAAATCTCTTTCTTTGGGGGAAAATACAAAGCATAGTAATTTCACACAGAATCCTTCATGGTAAAACATTAAAAAACAAACAAACAAACAAAATTTTGCAATCTGTTTCTGTATCTGTACTTTCCTCCATTTCCCCTTTAATTCTGATCATTTGTAATAAGGATATTAAAATCTTATGCGTGGTGTTCTGGTTCCAGTTTAAGCATTTGATTTCAACTGCTAGAAAACAGCACTAATTCAACTGCTCTATACCATGTTTTTCTGAATCTAAAATATTCATTTTGCATTGACAATACCTTTAATATAGTAAGAATTTTTTAAAATCATTGTTAAAGGATAAAATGGGAACAAATCTGTAGTGAGCTCTATTATAATATTAGATAATGCAAAGAGATACTCTGGGAGGCAAATAAGATACCTTATAAAGATTTAGAATACTGCAGTGAAATAAAACACACATACACACAATAGGTAATCATTTTAGAAATTGGTCAGATGGCCAATAATACAGCACTGACAGAAATAACTTCTTTGAATTTCACTAATATGTAGTTTCTACCTACTGTATATGTTCATTACTGGCAGAACACCCAAAGGTTTGGTCTCAATTCCTCTTGACAACAAATATGGCTAAGGGTGGTTCAACCAGTTAATCAATAATACTTGGGGGCCAAAATAAATTATAGATACTTTCTAGTCCAACTTACTAGCAGATAAGGCCTTTGAACACAGGTAAGCTACCCAATAGTATTTTAATAGCATATAAAAAGAAGTATATCACTTAATATCAAGAATTAGTATAAGTCTGGCTCAGGAAAAAACGTGATGAATAAGGATAGAAAAACCCATTTGGAAAACAAAGCCACTGAAATTCTAGAAAATTAGAAAACAAAAGCTATATTAAAGAACCATAAGACAAATATTTGGCTAGATTAAAAAAAAAGTTTGATGTTAAAGTTCATATTGGTCTTAAGTTAGCCATTCTTTCATTAGAATTATAGATTAAGTGACAGGTAAAATAACTCTTTGCCCAGAGACCACGTCAGTGATGACAACAGTAGCAAAGTTAACTAATAAAGATGTATGTATTAAAAGTAAACACAGCACAAGAAGTATTAAACCAAATCCAAAGTATGTTATTTTCTGTATAATCACTCTTACAAGTCATATATAAACATAAAGAGTCCCTCACTATCTTAGGAAATGTTTTTATAGGCGGCTTTACAGATCAAACTCAGTAATCGTGTGTACGTGTGTGCGTAAGCAGGCAGATGTGTATAAGTATATAGATGCCATTCCTTTCTCCTAAAGAAACACGACTTTATTATTCTCAATTACATCAATGGTTTCCTTATAGTCTGTTTCTAAAGACATCAAGACCAGACTGATTTTCATAAAATCAAATGGATTTTTGTGATGTTTCTAAAAAATAATTATTTTAGAACACTATGATAAACAGTTTAAGACCCTCAACAAGTGGCTGAAGATCTATTTCTTATTTATGAAATATTGGTAGCAGTTTCTTTCTTTAGTGTTGAATAGGATATTTCTAGATTTCTAAATTTGGAAACGCATGATTACTTTTTACTACTGATGAAAAGAAATTAACATCAACATATAATTTCATTATAACATAATATGAATACTCTGAATTTGTCATATATATTCAGTCTTTACCCAGTTTTATCTGACCTTATTTTTTAAGAATTGTGTATGCTATAAATTAACCATTTAAGAAAATATATTTGTGGATTTCAAGTCGTATCTACAAACTATCATTTATCTAATAGTTTGTATGGAAAATTAATTTCTTGAATTCTCACAATAGTTATGAAGCTTCTTTTTAAACTTAATTTAAAAAATAACAATACAGATGTACATACCAGTTGCCTGGAAGATGACTTTTTTCCTCCCTAAAAAGTGAAAAATTTAGAGAAATAGAAAATGTGCCCATTTCTGGGAATATGGACAGAATTCCTTATCAGCCCCATTTAAAGCTGCCTTCAAGGATTGTATTAAACTTAATTATGAAAGATTACAAATGAGATGATGTGTAATTGGTACCAGCTGCAGTTTGTATTGGAAAGCATACATACAAATGCAATTATTTATTTTTATTTATTTACTATTCAAACGGCAGTTCTAAAACTGGTCAGGATAAAACTGACTTTATTCATTTTTTTTTTTCCTATTGAACTTAAAATACTTCTTTACTTAATAACTGCAGTAGGGACAAATACCCCATTTAAAGACTACTTTTACCCCCAAAGAACCCAAAGAAAGAAGCAACACAAAGCAATTTTCTTTCCTCTAATTAGTAGCTTATTGTTTTTATATCAGACTTAGTGATTTGGGACTCAATTCTCCTTAAGCAACTCTACAATTTTTTAAACTCTAACTCTACATCTCTAATTTTTCATTTATACTCTTGCTCAAACATTAAAATAAGGAAAGGAAAAACAGAAGAATGGCAAGAAAGAAAAAGAGACTGCACCTGGGGAGGGCGGCTGGGCGGTGTGCTTATCAGGGGGGCAGGTCCCATGGCTGAGGCCGCGTTCAAGCTCCTTTCCCTTTCGTCCTGGTATATTCGGTCTCTTTCAGCTTCTGGTAACTGCAAGAAATTCTGCATAGCCCGAAGGTTTACCAGCAAAGACTGGGATGCAGTCTTGGGGTCCTCTTCCTTTCGAAGGATTTCTGAAAGCAAGCCCTGCAGGGAATGAGAGGCACAGGGTGAGCCTGCTTCCCTTTTCTTCTCCACTCTGTTTAGAAAATGAACAGTCAGAGGCATTAATTCTGCATAGGAATATATTAGTTACAATTGAAGTGGTGGAGAAGAGAGCCTCAATTGTATTCTTAATTTTATTAAGCATCTGCTTTACATATAACATAAACTGAAACTGCCTAATTGGTCTCCTTCCTTTGAGTAGCTTAACATGCCATGAAATCTTTCACAGAGATCCAGGGAAGTTAGGAATAAATGAAATCCTCATAATACAACAGCACTGAACTGTATAGTTCTCAAGCTGCCTAGACAAAGGCAGTGGAATGCCAACAGCCCAATATGTAAAGATATAAAGCTATTTCTGGGGAAGTAAGTAGAGCTTTCAAAGAAAATACTAGAGAACTGAATTGTAATACATTAGAAAAAAAGGAGTATTACTAAAGCATTACCTAAGATTTATGCTATATTTTCCTAGGCAATGTTTCAAGTTATTCTTTAATTTCAAAATTATCCAAGTAAATGACACCAGGTGACCCTTTCAATTTACCATTTCCAGGAAACCACAGTGACTACTCCCAATGATTCTAAATACTCCCTTGTTTTTTGATACTGGTGGGTAACAGGTTAAAATTTTGGACTTCAGAAGCCACAGAAATATCTGAAATACTAACTAATTTCCTATGTTGCAAAAACCCAAAATAGCATGCCAAGGAAAAAAATACATGTGTTGTCAATTTCTGTGATTATCACATTTCTTGGGTATTGAACATTACAGTGATAGAGGAAATTTAAAAATCATTACAAAACCCTTTTAAGGTATCTTTTCCCCCTACAAATAATAGAACATTAATTTTTAAAAAATTTTAGAAGAATTATTTCAAAAGTGGATGGTTTTCCCCAACATGGTTAAGGAGTAATATAAAACAAAAGTATTAAAATTATTAAATTTTTTTGTCCATTTTCTGAGGGCAAAGCAGCTCTTGGCTATTCAATCTTGTACATGACAAAACAATACCAAGACACATTTGGTTTCTTAGCCAGAATATCAGCTTCTCACAATATAGCTCTTAATAAAATTCTGTAAAATTCTATAATTTTTGAATCCACTTTCCAATCACCTGCAGAAATGATTAAAGGGTATATTGGGGGAAGAAAGGTAAGGTGTCAGTCAAAACAATGGATCCCCAAGGTTGTTTAACAATTGGTTTTCTTCATGGTTTCCTAGAACCTGTCTTGGTTTCCAATTCCTCAAGGATAAGATATCATACTGCCTAAATATAACAGGTGGGTGCTGAAGGTATACAAGCACTGTCCACCTGTTAAAATGATTTACGGCTAGTATTTTAAAAGGACCTCTGACAAGAGCAAGAGGCTTAACAGTCAATTTTAAAGCAGTCCCTCACTTGGTCTACTGAAATCAAAGCAGGGAAATCGGACCTCAACTTCCGGTTTTACCCTAAGAAACGTGACTAAAGAATGAAGGACACACGCCCTTTCATTCACGGTACTAATGAGTGATGCTGCAACTGGGTCTCAGGAGAGCAAAACATTGAGTCAATTTAACTAAAATTCAGTCAAACAGGCAGTCAATCATCCAGCTATTTAATTTGCACAAGGCCAACTAATTAGATTGACTGTGTTCCTGATGTGTCATTTTGGAACCGAAATATACAGATCTTTAAAAAAAAATTCTGAAAATAGGTATAATTAAATAGCCTTTGCTCTCTACCCCTCTCTACCAAATGTTATGTATTAAAAAATGCTCTTGGCAAAGCAATAAATATCAAATACACAGAGATAGTGACACAGATACAAATATTCAATATACATAAACATGATGTGATAAATTTCTTGAGTGTAATCTAATGTTTATTTATGTCATCCCAGCACAATGCCTACCACAAAAATGTTTGATAGGTTATGTGTATTGAACCACGAAAGGAAAAAATTCATAAACAGGTAACAGAAACTTAAGAGTAAGATATGTTACTCATGGAACAATTCTAATGGTAATTACTGGCATTCATGGTAAAACTTCAGTGGAAAGTTATATGGTATTTTGTGAACTGTTTCGCTACACTAATGGTTTAGCAATCAAAAAAATAGATGAGGGCCAAAGATTAACATTTAGGATGTTGTTATACTTGGGAAACTTCAAATAAGGCATTTAAAAATCTTAGAGTAATATATCACATATTTCTATCAAAAATATTTCCTGAGGCAGCAAAGACCTATAACAAGAAAATCAAATACATGAAAAAGCACATAATATTCTTTCTTAACTCTTGATAACATGAAAGGAAACTAAGTCATTCCTGGACAGCTTAAAGCAAAAGATTGCACGTCACTTAGGAGAGAATTTAATAAATTTTCTACCCACATTTCAATGTTGGTGTGACTTCCCATTTGAGCATACAGTTTTAGGGGCAAAACACTTTATTTTCATTTAAATTAATTATTCTACTGGAACAAGTGCAGTTTCTCTGCCTGAAATATGGTAATGGTCTGAAGTGATGTTTCAAATCCTGAAGCACTCAAAGAGCTTTAAAGCAGCCAGTGTAGACAGTCTCAGGTGTTTTTAAAAACATTTGTTTTGTTTTGTTTTGTTTTTTTTTGGCCCAGAGCTTTCAATGAGGGGAGTGCCCCCTGGTGGAAATGCTTGAAAATATTGTTAGAAAACATTTGATCAGTGTTAATTACTTAAAAAAAAAAAAAAAAAATTAAGTCACTTTAGAATAATTCTGGATGCAAAATGACTACTTTCAGAACCTAGATATAGGTATGCAAGTTCCAGTCCTGTTTAGGCCATTATTACTGGAAGAGTTACGTTTATGGATTCAAGATATGTGGCCTCCACTTCCTATTTCATACAGTTGAATATATATAGTACAGAATTGCCAAGGTCACTTGTAGTAATCTCCCATAGTGGATGGTATAAGGGGCCTCTAACCAAAAATTCTCCTTCATGCTAAAAAATAGTATGTCAAAGCCATCATGTACCTTACTTTTATGTCATAAAATAGGCTGCACCACCAGGATTAAAACATATCATGGCTATTTTGCATCATAGGTGCTCAATAAATATGTTGAACTAAATTTTAGCGAAATTGTTAGTCATGTAGGAAGTTACCAGCACCTCATGAATGTTAATTTTATTGGAAAGGAGAAACTGCCTTTCCTGGGACTGCACATCCTACAAAAATTTATATGCATGCTATAGGTATCAAAACAAAATTTTTTGCATGGTCATTACATAGTGGTTAAGTGTGAATTCTCCTGTTTTTCAATTAAAGAATGAATTTACTGATGGATTTCTAGTGTTTTTTACTTTCCAAAAAGAGTTTACAAGTTATTACAAGTAAAATTCATTAGTAATTATAAAAGAAAGAAAAAAACCTTCAGTAAATATTATCAGTACTTCCAAAAGCTAATTATGAATTCTTTAAAACAGCAGATAAGCGAAAGAGACTGCCAATCTGAACAAAAAGCTTGTCTGGCCTCCCGTTTGTCTCCTCTTTGAACATAATCACTGATTCAAATAGATTTTATCAGCTTCATGGAACTTCAAAGCCCTCAGAAAGAAAATACAATATGATACCTCCCTCCCAAAAAGAAAATACATAGAATACTCTTCAAGGCTACCTGCCTCTGTTGTTTGGTGAATTTTTAATCGCATCTTCAGGTGGAAAACTATTTTCAAACTCCACCCACTACCTTGGACTCAAGCCAAGTAAGTTGTAAGTAGGCACATTTATCTCTGTCGTTTGGTAGGCTAATCGAGAGCTGTCATGTTGGGGTAATAGCACCTTTTTACCTTTTATTCAATACTGATATGGATAGTGGACTTTCCTTAAATTACACTGTGAAGAATTATAGGAACACAGTGGCAATTTCTGTTATACTTAAGCAGGCAAATTTCTCTCCACCACATAATTTACAGAACTCAAATTCAATAAACATTACATGATGGTCCATTACTGTTATCAGTTTTGAATAATCCATCTTCATTCTTTATTTTACTGGAAAATAAAGTGCACCAAACATAAGAGAAGGGAGGAGAAAAAGGGGGAAACTACAGAGAAGGATCAGAGTTCAACTCTGGGTTTTATCTTTTTAAAAACCAAAGGGCATTAAAGAATGTATCTTCATGTATCGCAACCTTTAAAGAGCAATAATACAGAGAGGTGAATTAAAAAGTATAAATCTAGAAGCTTTGGCAATTACCTTTAGCTATAGGTTTCCATTAAAAAGACATCAAGTAGGCATAACTGAATGAATGACATACGCTGAAAGCTGATAATCTTCAACAGCAATTAAAGAACAGATGCCCATCAATTCAGAGGAGGGAAAATTTCTTAAAACAAGTAATTATATAAATTTCACCATAAATTTTCAGAAAAGGTAGATTTAAAAAAATAGTCAGATGTGACAGTCTTAAGAAAGGGTTATGTTTTAATTTAGCAGACCCTATTAATAAGAGAAAATTCTCAATTAAGAGTTAAAATAAAAGACACAGTATTTTAAAGTTATACATAGCTGTCAATGACAAAAAATAATTCTCAATTCATAACAGGGGCATCTATTATTTTAATGTTTTAACCATATTGTTTATAGAGTACAATGTCTTTATCTGACCACATCACATAACTTTGCATTTGTATGTACACATTTTACGTGAATTTTTCTTTAAACTTGGATTTGGGATTGCACCTTGTAATAAGTGCTCACAAATGTGTGATGTGCGATTCAACTTCGCAAAGCTCCCTGTCCATACATATGCATTAGCATGTGTATTTTCGTACTCTACACTCACACCATACTCTCACTCTGCACCTGCTTTTATTGAAATGCATACACTTCGAAATAAACACACTACATGCATTCATATGAATGCATAATCATTAAAATAAATGCAGCTGTGTGTGTGGTTTTTAAGTATGACCACTGAAAATACACGCATGCATGCATGTGCAAAAGCTAGTTCTCAAAGAGTGAACATTTAAATAGACATAGAAAATTACTCTTATTTAAATAAAACAGCTTCAAATATGGCCCAGCATCTATTTCTACTGATGAGTACTAATTATCAATATAAAGGGTTAAAACTAAAACTATGTATTTATAACCCAAGGCTCTAAATAATTTTTGGTAATGACCTTTTTCTAAATTTGCTATTATTAATAGAGGTATCTGTATCAAGTTGTACCAGATTTTATTCTTTACTTACCCTTAGAAAAATGAAGTCACTGTTTATGATGTTAACCATTAACCACAGAGATGATCCTTTTCAAAGAGATTAATATGGTATAAAAAAAGAGAAAATCCTGCCTTTCATTTGCTCAATTTTAAAAATTGAGCAGTAAACATATAAGTCATTTTTGTCTATGTCTATGTCGTCTTTGGGGGCTTTTATTTTCTTTTTTCATAGAGACAGGTTCTCACTCTGTTGTCCAGAATAAAGTGCAGTGGTGTGATAATAGAGGTCACTGTGTCCTTGAATTACTGGGCTCCAGCAATTCTCCTGCTTCAGTCTCCCACATAGGCTATAGGCAAGTGCCACCACACCTGGCTAATTTAAAAAAAAATTTTTTTTTTAAAAGAGATGAGTCTTGCTATATTTTCCAGGCTGACCTTGAAGTCCTGAGTTCAACTCCCAACCTCTCACCTCAGCCTCCCAATGTGCGGGAATTACAGGAGTGAACCACCACATCTAGTCTACTGGGATTTTAAAACTCAATTTAACAAGCATCATTGGACTTTTATATAGAGTACTATTTTGTTCGCTTAGGGCTAAGACCTAGTAGTTACTGTATTTACAAAAATAAAGAATGCTACCAGATACAGGAATATCTAGAAGGCTACTGATTCATTCATTCATTTTTTTCAATAATTACACCCAACTGAACATAGCTGTCATATTAAGTTTACCAGCTAAAGAAAAAGACAGCTTTTCAGCTGTAAAAATATGGAACCAGGTAAAACCATACAATTTTAACCTGAGGCATAACCTTGTGCAACTGCCTTTTTTAAAAATAGACAAATGATGTACAAAAAGCAGATGAAGAAAGTGAAAACAAACACTGAATTAAAGGCTTTGTCAGGTCTCCTAACTCCCAGTCTAGTTAAGGAAAGCCAAAAATAAGTCACAGCTGGGATTCTCCTAGGTATGGAAACCCTGCCAACAAGGAATTAATACTAGATTATTTTTGTACCAGAATTTTATTCTTATAATCATGTAATAAACAAAATAACTTAAATATGAGAGGAAAGTGTGAGTCAGTCCAAAAACCAAAAATAAACTGACAAAAGAAAGAACAGTGGTAAAACAAGAAAGTTAAAAAGATAAAACATCTTGGTACAAATCAAAGCTACATGTTTTTGTTTCTTGAGTGTGCCCAGGCCAAAAATAAACACGATATATATCATTGCAGTTTCCAAAGAAAAAAATGCCTCTCATTCATGAATTTAAAAAATCAATTTCTTTAGAGTTTCTCAAAAATCTTTTTCTTAGGACTTTTCTCCTATCATGTATCACATTTTCTTTATGTCCTCTTAAACATCTTCCAAGCTGACAGATAGTATCTGCACAGGAATTTGCCCAGGAGGATAAAAGATATAAATGCTAGGGCTCTATGCAGATCTCAGTGAAAAGCCTGAAAACAAATCTGCGAACTAAGACCAGCAGGCCAAACTTACTCCACGGTCTGTTTTTATAAACAGTTTTATTGAAACAGCGCACACCTACACCATTTATTGTCAGTGGATACTTGTTACTCTACAATGTGACAGGGATTTTATGATCTTCAAAGACTACTATATTATCTGACCCATTACAAAATAAAGTTTGCTCATCTCTTGTCTAGAGAATAAAGTTTAGAACAGCATGAAACAATAACATGAGGAAAAAAGCTCAAAAATTTCATAAGTCATATAATTTTTTTTTCAAAATGGCTGCTTCAAATTAAATGTCAGAAATTGCTTTCTAACATGTTTTTTTAAAAATGTTGTAGAAAACCTTCCACCAGGTTCACTGATATACTTGGGTTTGAGATGGGTGGTAACACGAAAATGACACTAGGCCAGAAACCTCGAATCCCTGCCGATGGTCTTGTCCAAACCATGAAAACTTTGCTTAACCTTCTTCTCCAGTTTCTTTATTCTGTTATATAAAAGTGCAAGTAATGCCAGCCTGAAACTTTTTTTATGTTTATTTTTTCAATGTCTCTCAAACGGGATCAATCTGCACCTGGTTTTCCTTTGATACATACAGGAGGATTTTCACAGGGGAAGACAAAATAAAGACACCACCAGGGACTGGCAATTTTATCACATGAAGAGAAAGATAAAATATCTAATGCTAAAGAATGAGCATTAGAATGGATGTGAGTGACAAAAGAAGAGAGATAGAAGGCAAAGAGAGCAGAAGCATTTAGGAACAGAAAAAAACTGACCTGAGTTCTGTTAAAAGCCACACGTGCAAATACTGCCTGGGAGATTCCTGCTCGTTTCAGTTCATCACGTACCCACTGGTAGATTTCGGAAGACACCTCTGTGTTGGTTGAAACCTGTTGCTCCAAAGGCTTATTCATAGATCTACTGACAGGGGGAGGGTGGTTCAAGTATTGTTGGTTTAAGGACTGCTGGGCTAAAAGTCTATTCACTGCATACTGCTGGTTCAGCAGCTGAGCCATCACCAGCTGCTGGTTGACCAATTGAGGACTGATAGGCGTTGACACAAGCCCAGGGTGCAGGTTCGGAAGAGGGGTCCGGACAGAGGACTGACTGCCGTGAGAGAGCTGTGCGGGGGACGGAGGCTGCTCAGCTGTGTTCCCTGGGACCGGCTGCTGGCCAAAATTGACATGGTTGGCACCTTGCTGGGATAGTTCAGAAAGACTATCCATTTCAACTAAAGTGAACAAGAAGTAAATTCATATTCAGTCAACAATGATGGGCATTGACAAAGATTTCTGATCACTTCCCAAATAAAAACAAACAGCCTAGTAGACACAGGGCACACCAAAGATCCAATAAAAACCAAGACAATTTCAAGATGGGACTCCCTAGACTGTGCTTTTATTTTCCTCCTCTGAATAATCCCACAAATTTTGAAAGTAGGACACCACCTTTGATTTCATTTTTTAAAATGTGGTTTAAATTTAAGACATAAAATCAATTATATTTGAATTCTTTGTTCCTAGTTATTCACTCTCACTTATTACCCTGAGAAGGCTCATAAGCAATGATGTTTATTTTAAAATGGCTTCTAGAAGAATGTCATTTGCTTAATGGAAACAAGAAACAGTGAGCTAAGAAAATAAGCTTATGATAATAAGCAACTAAAGAAAAGGAATTTACAAACACTTTCTCATGATATATATTAAATTTAGTACTCCAGGCAAAAGTTGTGAAAGGAAAAAAGATGACACAGAATGTTCAGTTTTTACCTACCAGTAACTATAAACATATAGTCAAATAATAAAGGAATAAAAAATGAGCATAATGATAAGTAATAATAACTAAGTGTACACTGAACACTGTGTTAAATATATTAGATGGTTTGTTTCCTTTAATTCTAACCATCAGGAGCAGTAGGTGCACCTGAAAATATTTTTTTGACTAAAGCAAGTGATTTGTAATATGACAAATCAGAATACCCAGTGCTGCAAAGACCCAAATATTTTTTAAGAAGCTCCTGCTATCACCAGATACTAAAGATAATCTTTCAAAAAAAGGGTGGGAAATTTCTCTGGTAGATGATGCTATCAAGATTTTGCAATTTATTCCCACCTACCCAGGATGAATGCTTTTCCTCTTGCTCAATCACTCAGGTGGATTATCTGAGCATCAGCTGTTAAGTGTGTAAATGCTTTGCTGCTACGAGAAGGAAACTGGTTTGATGCTCTTGACTGGCAAGACCAGACACGAAGCTGCATGTGTATCGGTCTTTCCAAATCGACACCGTCTTCCCAGGTACAGACAGATGCTGGTTTGATTTGAATCATTATTTCTCTTATCATTAACTATGCAGGTTTTATACTTAGAGGAATTTATCATATTGCTATAGCCACTGGTACGTAGTATACACAGAGTATAACTAAGAATTGGGGGAAAAAAATCTTCCGTTTCTACCCGTGATATCAGCCCAAGTGGGCCATTCACATAGAATAGTAATTCAAGCAATTATTCCAAAAATGATGCATTGTCTTCATTACAGCCCTAAGCTATAAAAGGCAAAGAATCTGTTTGGGTAGATGGATGGTTTTGCTTCAAATATTAAAAGCTAAAACATGTTTGAGATTTGGGTTCTTATGTTTCTTAAAATCTTTAAGAAAAATTATCGTTATTATTAAATGAATATAGTGGAGGTAAACAGAGATAGATTTAAAATAGGGCATAATGCTATGCATATTAAACATCCCATTCTTGTATTATTTTAAAATATAGAGGCTATAAGTCTGGGAAAGAAAACGCTAATAGAAATTAAAACATTAACCTTAATCACAGTGTTTGCTTTTGTGAACACTGACAAGCTCAAGAAGGAGAACGTGCTATAATCTAAATGCTTAAGGTACAGCAGACAACTTTTACCTGCCATTTTCCACAGCAGATTAATTTAAATGTATTTCCTGCATAGCGTATTGACCTAAAGCTACATGTTAAGATAGGGTGTGATATTGGAAGTAGAAGTTTAGGAATGAAGCACTGATTTCTTCCTGGTAAAGCAGTACGCTCACCACTGTGTGTGTCTGTCTGGGGGAGATGGGGGATACAATTACAAAAATCGCTTGATTTTTGATAGTTGTGGAAACTATAAATAGATACATTTAGTTAAGTTTGATACAGTTTTGTTTCCTTAAAAACAAGCATTGTCCCTTTCTCTAAAACAAAAACAAAAAACCTAAAAGCATTATTTCTCTCTGAGAGAAATCACAGCTAATATTAGTTATTCAAGGCCTGGTTAGGTCTTCACTGAGATGTTAAAAAATGACAGCTCCCCTCCTCACACCTCGGTTTCCTGCATGTCTGACAACCAAGTCAGCTTAGCTGATTTAAACACAAACATTTATTGAATTTAATTATCTCATTATACTCATACCCACTCCCCACCCCCAAAGAAACATTCTAAATTGATCTCTAATTGGGCAATCAAAAGACCTGGCTTTCGATGTGACTTTGATAAACCCCCAAATGACATGTAATGGTATGTCGCCCCCAGTGCAACCGTTTTTTTGCTTACCCATCATATCTTTTGTCTTCTTGAAATGTTTGTACCACCTTCCAAATTCTTGACATTTTGCTGCTGAGACATTTGCATAGTAAGTGCTGTTCACGATGGAAGAGATCATACTCTGCATGAAGGGGGAAGAGAACACTCGTGATACATAGCTGCACAAGACGGAAGGCAGAAATGATTTCAATTGTGGAAACGGTCTTTTTTTTTCATCAACTGAGTACACACGGGTACATTTTTCACACTTTAGCCTAAAGCCTCAACGTCTTAAAACTCATAAAGTACATCATCAAAACCTTATTTAAGTAGAAATCAACAGCCCACGAAGACCTATATAAAGCTATCAAACCCACAGACTTTGTTCTAGCATTTATTGACTCCCCATCAGGGTCACCTGTTTCTTAGCTGACAAACTTTCACTATCCCATAAATCTAAATATGTGAATGCGGCTTTATAATTGCAATTCACAAGTCTATGTTTCTTTGTGGTTTAGTGACTGGACGCTGCACCCCTGCTACTCAAAAGTGTGGTCCAGGGACCAGCAATATAGGCATCACCTGGAAGCTTGTTAGAAATACAGAACGCTGGGCTCCCCCAGACCTAGGCAATCAGCACCGGCATTTTTACCAAGATCCTCAAGGGATTCACATGCACATTAAAGTTTGAAAAACACCACTTGCACTTTCCATCCCAGTATTTGGATTTCAACTGGAGATGCACTAGCAGCATTCAAAGGTAAACTGACCATATTTGAGAAGAAACAAACTATTAACAGAGCTCCTCTGTCAGGAGAAAAACACTCTGCAAACTTATTATTGTATTCATGTTCAGTAAAGTTGGAGTTCTGAATTTCAAACTGACCATTCAAATTTTAGATATATACTTCATGCTTACTGAATTCCTGAAGGGTATCACAAAAAAAAGAAAATGACCTATTTTGTCCCTTTTCCTCCTGTTGCTTTTAACAATAGCCCTAAAAACAGAGTCAACTATTTAACATACAAAAATGAAGACAGATATGATTTTAATGTTTCACTGGGAAGAGGGCTTTTTAAAAACTCATTTTCAACACAGAAAATTAATTTCTTCTGAGTATCTTTTGGTTATGGTAATTTCAAAGACTTAATTCATGGTCCTTTTTAACCCTAACACCCATACTCTCTAGTAGCAGCTAAACTAATTTCCTATGGAGTCTTAGAAACAACTAGACTTTGTAATACCAATTTGTTCCTCACTCCTGTGTGTAGAAACATGAGAACTTACATTTCAGACTTCAGTTAGTCTAGGGTGAAATAGTTCACAGAAGGCAGCATTGTTCAGCAATGTTCTGAACAACCAGAAAAGCCAGTTTGGGGACCAAAGTATTTTTATATCATTATCTTCTTTAAGCGACTTCTAATGTAAAGCTCTTTTGGTTATTATTAATTCTCCCAGCATCTATTATAGTGTTAATTTTGTAGCGTAAACACATTTCCTTAATAGGTAAGTTTGAGAGATCTGTGGAGAACTTCCAGGGAAGGATAGCTGGAGTCGCATTATTGATGTAAAACGTGGCTATCTTTCCGAAGAGGCACTGTGATGATATCTTTTTTTGACACTTTCTACTTTATAGTCATTTTCACATTTTATTTCTCTAAAAAGACATCCTTAATGTGCTCATGATACTCTGCCATTAATCCAATAGCTTGCAATTTCACTAAGAGCCTCCCACAGTCCACAGTGCACGGAGACACTTAGCAAGGTTGCCAGAACCAGAGCCAAAAGATTACCTGATCCAGTTAACAATCCGTCAGCTTCAATCTCACTTACTCTGTTGTAATAAAGGATCAATAAAGTCAGACACTAATAAAACTATTGAGATCGCTGATGGATAATGGAGATTCTGCAAATGGATGACAACTGATGTTCTTCCACTTTGACCCAATTTTTAAAAAATTATTTTTTACCCAGACATTCTGGCAGTTTCTTAAATATTAGTCTAATGGTATGTATTAAGTTTTAGATGTCATTTCTGTCTTGCTGTATGAGAAATCTAAATTCTATCAGTTTGCCAGCAGTTCCCTATACGGAATTTGCTCTTTACTGTACACCTACTATGTGCCTTGCTGGTACTAACCAAGGACAAAAAGATGGACAGGACACAGCCTCTGCCTACAAGAAGTTTAACATCTATTAGGAAGACAGATACATAAACAGATAATTTCCATTGATTGTCACTCAGTGCACCAATATGGAGAGGGTAGACGATCCACAATACGTGTGAAAAAAGTCTGAAATATTTTTATAAAACTAGAGCCCACATGTAATAGTGCTATGCAGGTCATTATTATCCATATGTGATAAATAATATCCATATGTGTATATGTATCATTAGAGCTTCCCTTGTTTAACCCTAAATTGGTAAAAGCTCTGCCTCTAAGTGATTTTTCTGGATACTTTCTGTCATGTGGTATGTGCTCAAGAAACACTGATTAATGCAAATATTAACCTAAGGGCTAATAATCTGTAAGTTATAATGCATGCCAAAGTAACTTTTCATTTTCCTATCTTTTGGTATTTGGGGGCCCTGGGAAACAGTCCATAATTCAGGTAACTTGGAGTCACCTCTGTTTTTACTGGAATAGTATGAAATAATCTGTACAATTAAATTGCTCACGCAGCCGCTGCATGCTTCTCTTTGGGTCTGGTGGTAATCCCTACTGAAGCTGTAAGCACTGTATCAGAGTAGACTAGTGAGAGTCAATGGCAGGGAAGAGAGCCTGCAGAATCTCATGGTGCATATGGCATTTGAAAGATCACAGTCAATCCCATAATACTAAATTTAGAAAATCAGGAAAAAGCCTATTGTTTTGATAAGACAAATAACAGAAAGTCAACATTGGTAATATTTTTCTAGTAGAGCAAGTTCTATGTTTCAAGGGAGAAAGGGTTAGGATTCCTATTTCAATCAAAAGGAGACACTGGTTTAAAAACACTGCACTGAACTGTGAGGTCATGCAGGTCTGGGGCTCCATGTTATTTTCCAGTTCAATGCCTAGTGTATATTAAATACACTAAATGTTCACCTGACAAAATAGAATAGAAATAAATCTGCATTCACGTGCAAGGATGTGTCACAGGCTGGGAGTATGCCCTTGGGTCAATTAATTGGACATTTGATCACAATTTCCCATGCTAAATAGGAATGATAGTCGCATTCACTGCATAGGAGTGTTCCTCTCGTTCACACATATTGTTCTTTCATTCAGCACACATTTACTGCACTCCTACTATGTGCCAGGCACTGGGCAAGTCACCAGGAAACTAATGACTTGAAGAGACATACTATCTACCACCTGCAGACAGACAATAAAAAAAATAATGGATGTGATGCAATTAGCACAGAGCCTGGAACATATCAAGTATGAACTTAAGAGATGTTAATTACTATGACAACCTTCTGCCTCCTCCTCATCCGGCTTTTATCATATGATCCCATTTCACTTCAGTTGACTAGGCTCTAAATAACAGACTACTATCAGATAAAACTTTCAAATGATATACAGTATTTTAAGTCAAATAATACTATTTGTAGAACAAAGAGTACACTAATTAAATTATTAAGTTATAAGTCAGGTCAAGGAATAGCAAGAGAAAACACCGAGGGAAAGGATTTCTATATTTTCTTTATTCTAGTTTGGTAAGTGTTTTCTACAGCTGGTCTGCATCTGGTGGGAGGCCTTAGGAAGGCCCACCACTTGGATAGCTGACCCATACCCTCTCCCATCTCCGGCAGACAGGTGCTCACCCTTCAGGACACATCTCAAATATGCCCACTTCTGGGAGGCCCTTCCTAACGTCCCAACATCCCGCACACACTGCCACCAGAGCACTGGTCCTGCTGTCATGCTGTTTATTTTCTACTAGATTGCCTTAGGTATTATTTCTGCACAGGGTTGGACATGCATTGAGTGATCAATAAAAAATAAAAAAGGTCACTGAAACAGGGCATTACTGCAGGCTACCAGAAAAATCCTCTTTCTTTTTTATGCCTTAAAGGTCAAAGAGAACGGAAGCTTAATTGTCACGTGAATCTTTAAAATCCATCACTTTTAGCTGTTACGATAGAAATCATAGTTTCAAGAACCTTTGTTCATTAATTTGCAAGAAATCCTTTCCCAGGTTTTTCAGAATACATCCACACAGATGTCTCGGAAGTTGCAGTGCTCGGTGGTTATGTTATTCCAGTTCTCTCCCAGTGTCTATTTATATGAGTTCTCCAAAGCACTTAGAAAAAGACACAACTTGTATGGCAAGTTTCCTATTCAGTGGCTGGTCTGTATAAAACATCAATGTTCAGGGCACAGAATAATCCAACTAACAAAACTCAGTAAGTTGAAATCCCAAATTCAAATGCTATACATTTTACCAAGCAGTAAATAGGCCACAGCTTCCAATGTTGGGAAATACAATCTCAAAGTAGGCAGAAATTGGCTGTGGGTCTCATAACCCCGGTGTGACACAATATTCTCATCCTAGGAGCCAAGTTGTAAGCTTTTCTAAGATCCATAAAGCACATGTCTACTCCCTACGAGGAGCTTCGGTTCTTTCTGAGAGTCTGCTGAAGTTCCGATCTGAAAGAATGCCATCTTCACAGAAACCCCGGTACTCTAGAATGATACCATCTGCCACAGGCTGAGCTTCCTTTTCAGCCAAATACATTATTTATAACCTTTCTAATTGTGAAAAGGTAAGGGTGGAATTTTTCTAAAGCCTAACTTAGCTATAGTTAGAACATTCTGAACCTTTGCTCTAAAATACTGCAGGTCTCTTAAATTTAACAAACAAAAAACACAAAGAACTGATTGAGGCTACACACTCTTTCAAAATATTATTTTCTTTCAAATCCATGCTAGAATATCACATATTCTGGAGGTATATACATTTATCACAAATTTAGAACATGAAGGAAGACAGTTTTATTTTTCTACTTGGTCATCTAAGTAACCAATGAAGAGGTTTTAGGAGAGGTGAGGCCTTCTCAAAAAAAAGACTCATCAGCTAGGAAAAGACAGTGATCTGATTACCCTTAAAATTGCTTTGTTGTGCCTTTAACAACAACCAAAAAAACCCACCCC